CCACGCGCTCACGGGCTCCTCTCGTCTCGTCTCGTCTCTCCGCCAGGTCCGGCAGTCCGCCTCGGTGATGCTGAGGATGAGGGTGAGCAAGCACTGGAAGAAGATCGACCCGGAGCACAGGGAAAGGTCTGAGCTTCTGCCTCTCCCGCTGGCTCTCCAGTGTCCCGGGCCTCCGGATTGAATCCTCCACCTTCGAGCATCTCCGTCTTTCACATCGTCATCACCGCACTTTCTGTAATCGCTTCTCCGAGCTTGTCCCCGGGAGCAGTGGGCACAAGGCGGGATACACCCTGAAGGGGGCGCCAGTGTCCAGGTCCTCCGGGGGGACATGAGGTCACTGCCCGGGCAGTTCGGTCAATCAGTCAGTCAGAGATTATTTATCAAACGCACAACAATACAGCGTGCAGCAGTAGAAATGTCTTTTCTACGAGCTCACCTAGGAGATATAAATATCACAAAATTAAAGTTAGAAAATGAGGTGACATAATGATAGATAATAGTGCACTAGAAATTGAATGAGATAAAGTCAGACAGAGCTCAGTATAGATATCAATGGAGCTGCTCTGTGTCCAGGGTGTGTGCAGTACAGTGTGTCCCAGTAGTGCAGTTATGCTGAATACGGTGAAACTGTGTGTCCCTGTAGCCAGTACAGGTGATGTGCTGAAGGAGCTGCAGCTTGGCTGTTTAGCAGTCTTATTGCCTGGAGGTAGAAGCTGTTCTGTAATCTGTTGGACTTTGACCGAATGCTTCGGTACCGTTTACCGGACGGTAGGAGAGAGAACAGTTTGTGACTGGGATGACTGGGGTCCTCGAGAATGGACCAGTTCCGAGGACGCGAATAGAGCCCCCACACGGGACCCTGGCCGAACGGGGTACAGTTCTGGGGTTTCCTGCAGTTGTGTGCAGGTGAGAGCTGGCCAAACAAATGCATGAGCGCCCATAAAAAGGTTCACAAGAATCCGTAGCGGAATACTGTTTCACAGTAATCCGCAGGTCTTCGCCACACAAGCTAAACTTGTTCCTGTGGAAAAGCTCTACTGTACAGCGATCTGGGCGCTCCTAGAGTGTGCCGGATGTAGGAACACAGCCCACCGGCTGTGACCCCGGCCTAAAAAAGTCCTTTGCGTTGCAGAATCTCTTGGCGGGACAGGAGAGATGTGTTTCCGTCCAGGCGGGTGGAGTGGAACAGTAGGTGTAATGAAGTGGAAGGGGCAGCAGGTCGCGGAGTTCACTGCACAAGGCCCGAGAGAATGGGCTGGCTCACTCGGGACTGGCACTGTCCAGTCATCACTCCGAGGCCCCGTCACCCGGGCAATAACCTCTCATCCCGCGTGAGGGGCTGAGGAATCGCATGCACGTTGCTTGTGCAATTGCACTGTGACTTACTGATTATATCTCTGATTGTTGATCTGATTTACCACTCCATAGCTTCCCACAGCAGAGGTAAATAATGAAAGTATCGGTAACTCTCGCGCCGCGCGCAGGAGCCGGAGTGTTCTGTGGACTGTGAGCCGAGCTCAGATCTCTGCGTCTCTCCCTGTCTGTCAGTCTGAACCCTTTCTCCTCTCTCCCTCCCCAGCCTGAAGTCTGTGGTCCTGCAAGCTTTCCAGCAGGAGACAGAGTGAGTACTGCCCACGTCCAAGTCTTTCTCCCGTGCTGGCGTTGCGCTTGCTCACCCTGTGTCCCCCCCCCCACGCTCTGCTTGCAGGCACAAAGTGCGTCACTCTCTGTCCCAGCTGGCTGCCGTCCTGGTGAAGCACGAGACCCCCGACCGCTGGCCCGCCCTCCTCGCTCTGCTTAACCAGTCAACGAAGAGCAACAACCCGCAGGACAGACAGGTAC